GTTTTTTGGAAAATTCTCAGTTTTTATTCAAATATTATTTCCATCCTATTTGCTCTCTTCCCTTCTTCTGGAGCTCCTTCCACACGTTAGACCTCCCACTATGTCATGTATTAATCTCAGGCTCACATTTTCCCTGTACTTTCTGTTCTTTTCCTTCGTTCTTTATTTTGGATTGTTTCTCTTGACCTCTCTAATGGAGTTCATAAATCCCTTCACCAGCTATGTCTAATCTGCTGTTAAATCTATTTACTGAGTTCACAAGTGCAGTTAATGTATTTTTTCAGTTTTAGAGCTTTCATTTGATCATATTTTATAGTTTACAGTTCTATTGAAATTCTATTTTCCATCTAAATTCTTGAATATATTAGCCATAATCATTTTTAAGTCTGGATCTTTTAACTCCACCGAGTGGATGTCTTAGAAAGATCTTTCTAAAATTTGACTTTTAATTTTGAGATGACCATAGTTTCACATTCAGTTATAAGAAATAATGGAGATCAACTTCATGTGCTCTTTATCGAGTTACCCCCAGGGATGGCAGCCTGCAAAACTAGTGTGGTGTCACAACTGGGATACCGACGTCCATACTGTGTTGTTCGGATTTCCCTACACAAACTCATGTATATGTGTATGTTTATTTATTTCTGTGCAGTTTTAACACATGTGTAGGCCCACTGACCTTTAATTTTTTTCTCTCATAGTTTGCAGGCATTCCATTTTGGCCCCAGGTGTATCTAATAATTTCTTCATTCGCCAAACCTTGTGTACCAAAAATATAATGAGAGTTTGAGTGATGTCATTATCTTCCTCAGGAGGGAATTTCCTTTTGTTTTTGGCAGGGTATTAGTCAAGGGGCAGACACTTTATTTATTTCTTTTTTAAAAAATTTTGAAGTTTTTTAAAATTCATTTTTAGAAAGAAAGAAAAGGTCGGGGAAAGAGAGGGAAAGAAACATCAATGTGTGGATGCCTCTCACATGGCCCCCTGCCCCCGGGACCTGGTCCACAACCCAGGCATGTGCCCTGACTGGGAATTGAACTGGCGACCATTTGGTTTGCAGTCCGAGCTCAATCCACTGAGCTAGGCCAGCCAGGGCTCCATGTAATTTCTTGAACATGTCACCGGCTGCTTGGCTGTTACTCTGTGCTTGACTCAGATACGTGCTGAGAGCAGACAGGTGCCTCGGGAGGAAACGGGAGCCCCAAAGTCAGGCTCCCCTCTCTCAGCTTCTCTTCTCCACGCGTCTCGGTTGCTCAGTTCTCAGCTGTCTCGCTGCGTCTCTGACGGCTTCCCTGGGTGTTTTCAATACGGTGTTTGGTGTCTCTAGGTCTTCTCGGTGGCAGAGTGGGCCAGCAACAGGAGTCCGTTACGTCAGACTTCGTTTCCCTCTCACGCCCCACTCCGGGGACCTGGCCTGCAAACCGTGTATGTGCCCCGACTGGGAATCAAACTGGTTACCCTTTGGTTCACAGGCCGGTGCTCCATCCACTGAGCCACACCAGCCAGGGCTGGTTTTGACATCCCGTGTTTTGACATCCCTGAAGGGCTAAGGGGGATTGGAAACCTCAGACTACGTAGTGCGGCATCTGAGTGCTTGTTCTGGAGTCGGACCGGATTCAAACCCCAATGTTGCCACTTCCCAGCCACGTGACCTTGGACAAGTGACCCTCACAGGGTTAAATTAAACTAATATATGTCCATCAAGGGATCAGAGCAGTGAATGCCTGGCACATAACCAGTACCCAAAATGTACCAGTTGTTAGTATTCAGCAAACGCATAGTAAGCCCTGCTCCGTGCTGGGTGCTGGATATACACAGTGGCGAAAAAGGTGAATGCGGTCCCTTCTGCCGTGGAGCTGACACGCTGAGTGACTTACAGTTAGAAGCAAGCAAGCACGTTTACTGTCAAAGAGAGGGGTGTGCTGTGGAGAGAATGAAAAAGGCCAATAGAGCAGGCGACCCCGACAGGTTTGGGTGCCGGACGAGGAGGACGGGCTGTGTTCCCTGTTCTGGGGTCACGAGAGGACATGGTGAATGGCAGAGAGTGACCAGGCCGCGCCGTAAGGTGGGAGGGTCGGCAGAACTTCTGCGTGCCAAGCCGACGCCGGCGTGGCAAGAAGGAGCCGGGCTCTGAGGGCTAAGGGTCGGTGCGCTCCAGGCTGAGGGAAGGACGCGGGGAAACCCCTGAGTCTGGCGATTGCCCGAGGGACGGACAGAGGCCTGCGTGTCCCGGGGGGTCCCGGGGGGGCGGGGAAAGGAGCGAGTTAGTGCATGAGGTCCGAGAGGCAGACCGGGGCCAGGTCACACGGGGCTTTTCCCTCCGTGTCCTGGAGAGCTGCGGAGAGTTTTACGGGAGGGAATGACTCTTTCACGGCAACACGGTGGACCGGCCTGCTGCACAGAGCGTGGGTGTTCCTAGAGGCCCGTGCAGTCGTCTGACTGGGAGACGGCGGGGGCTCGGGCGGCGGGAGTGGGGAGGAGTGTGCACGGGTGGGAGGTTTGCGCTCGTGGCAGAGTCCGAGGCGATGGACCGGGTGGATGGGCAGGAGCGCACGCGAAGCCAGTGACGGTACGTGCGTATCTGAGCGACTGGAAGATGGCGAGCCCACCTCTTAAGTGGACGCCTGGGGTCCCAGTAGAGGGGGAGCCAGAGTTTGGGGTACGTTCCTTCTGAGACTCCCATTAGGCAACCTGGACACGCCCATGTGGAGTTCAGGGCAAGGTCTAGGAGGGGTCAGCGTTTGAACGTCGTCAGGTGGTTCGAGGTGTGGGCCTGGGTGAGGTTTCCTGGGGAGAGAGGATCGGGGAGAATGAGGAGACAGGCCCAGGACTGCGCCCGGAGCAACCGCAGGGCTCAGAGGCCAGGGAGACTGGGAGGGGCCGCAGGGGGCCCGAGAAGCAGCGCCCAGGGAGCGAAGTCGTGGGGCTCAGAGGGCGGCCGAGCCGCCACAGCACCGCCGTGGCCGTGCTGGGAATGCAGAAGGTCAGGCCCCACCCCGGACCTCCTGCCGCGGAAGCTCTGGGGCTGAGCCCGGCAATCGGCGCTTGAAGGAGGTGATTGTGGTCCAGGCTGAGGTCTGAGAGCCACTGAGGTGGGAGGAAAACCGGGCGGGTGCTTTTAGTCATTTTGGAGAGCAAACCCTCACCCAGAAAAGTGTGCTAAGGTTGCAGGGCAGGCAGAAGCGCCCCTCAGGGACCCCTGGCCGTGGATCTGACACGAGGGTCAGCACGCACCAGAGCCCTGTGCTGCTTTCTCTGCATCGGCCACTCAGCTGTGCAGGTACGGCCAGAAGGGGGGGGGCAGTGTCAGCTGAGGGGGACAGAGGGTGTTTGTAGGTAAATCAGAGTGAGAGGGGATAAACAAGGCATAGTGGCCCGAAGCTTAACTGTGCTCAGTGGTCAGTAATGAAAAATAATGTTTAAAAACAAACCTGGGTTCATTCTGGAATAGAATGAAGAAAGCACATGACTCTTCAGATAACTCGAATACGGCTGTCCTGTTCGAGGGGCTCTTCCAGTGTTTCCCCAGGCGTCGTGGGGTGAACTCAGTCTGGCTGAAAGTCGGAAGGCTTCAGGAAAGTCTGGGGAGGCTTGTCTTGCTGGTGTGTCCCCCTGACTGCTTGCTGACTGGCCCCCGGGCAGTTCACGGGGCCAGCGGAGCACAAGGGCCAGTGGCACTATGGTGGAGCGGGCGGGCGGAGGCTGCGCCCTCAGACGGTGTGGACGGGCAAGGCTGGGGGCTTGATCGGGGCCTCGCAGGGATGGGCGGAGCTGGAGGGGTGGGTAGGGGACTGTTGGAGAGTCCAGTTTAGAGGCCAGTGAGTCAGAGGTGTCCAGGGAGACCATGGGGAGGGCAAGGGTTGAAATGCGAGGTCTTTCCGGAGAAAGTCCAGCCACTGTTAAAGTAAGGAGAATGGTGTGCGTGACATGAGTGTAACCTGGCCGCCAAGGAGAGGGGACTGGCATGCGCATGTGTGAACAGTGACGCCTTCACTGTACTAGTCAGTGGGGGAGGTAGATGTGGTGAGTGAGCATGTGTACTGTGTGGCTGTCTCATTCAAAATGACTGAGCAAGTAGAGAAATGAATCTGCGTCCAATTTTATGTTAAGCTTGAACATTCCCCTATGAAAAACATTCAGATGATTCAGAAGGCTGCAGCTACGGGCGACTGGTGACTGGCAGCTTCATCGCAACAACATGCTCACTCGTGCATCACGTCTTGTGCGGAGATTTTGACAAAATAGCAAATCACCCAGGTGACTCAGCACCACTACAGCCCAGATCTGGTGTCCTGAGACTTCTGGCTTTTCCCGGAACTAAAATCACCTTTGAAAAGGAGAAGATTTCAGACTGTCGATGAGATTCAGGAAAATACAACGGGGCAGCTGACGGGAGAACTGTGTGAGGTCCCAAGGTGCCTACTTTGAAAGTAGACTGAGGTGTCACTGTCCTGTGTACAGCGTTTCTTGTATCTTGTATCTTCTTCAGTAAATGTCTCTGTTTCTCATAACACATGGCTGGGTACCTTCTGGACTGACCTTGCACACCAGGGCCGACTTCCTCTCCCCTCCCCCACCTGCCCAGGCCTCCGAGGGAGGCGCCACTCTGGGGGTCCAGCAAGCGACTGCGGCAGACCGGGTCTCGGGGAACAAGTCAGGGACCAGTCCCCAGAACTGGGGCACGAGGTGGGACGGGGCATCAGGAACGAGGCCAGTTACCAGAACTGGGACACACTCCACGTGGGACTTGTCATTCTTGCTGCGTGAATCCTGGGGAGCGGGAACCGCTGTACCTGGGCCCTGGCAGAACCGGGCAAGTCGTGCGGGGGGCAGGTGGGGTTCGGGGAGGCTGGGGGACACTGGGGTGGCACCTCCCGTCTTTACCCACAGCCCCGCCCCAAGTAGCTGCCTCCTTCCTGCCCGGTGTCGCCCCCTCCCAGGGTAACCCCCGCCTTGCAAGAAGAGCCTCAGGGTTAAACATCACATTTATTTTGAACATTAAAATTTACAAAAACATAAAAGTAACAAAAACCCATGATGTATCACACACACACGCACACACACTGCATCTCACGTCACTTTATGTACAAAACTGGGCCAGGAGGACGGGAGGGGCGGGTCACCAGGCGGGTGCACTAATTTCACAGTGTCCGACAGCTCAGCATGCTCGCTCAGGGCTCAGCCTGGGCCCGCCCACGTGCGCCTCTTCTCCACGCAGCAGGGTCAGAGGTCAGGGGTCATGGGGGAGGGAGGGCTCAGGGTAGCTGGCAGCTGGGACAAAGGAGGTAACGAAAATGATCCCATCTCTGGGAGGGGGCCCCTTCCCCAGTTTGTTCAGAGCAAGGGTTCAGGGAAACGGAAAAGGGGGGACCAGTGCTGGAGAGAGGGGGGCCACCGTGTTGTGGAGAGAGCACTTCATGTAGTGCCAGAAAGCTGGGTTCAGGTCTCCCGGTGCCCCGGCTGGGTGGCCCCCAGGGCCGCTCACCCTCCGTGGGCCCCGCTGTCCTCACGTGTGAAATGAGGGCCCCGACCCCCTCTAAGAGTCCTTCTGTCCGAGTCTGTGGACCGAGGTCACGCACAAGTGTGGCAAGGCGACCCGGCCCCGCGGGGGGTTGGCCAGGGCCCCAGCGCGCTGGCCCCAGAGGCAGAGGCGGGGGAATCTGGCAGGTGAGAGCTGTGGAGCACCTGGGGCGGGGCCTGGCCCGAGGCTGGAGGCGGAGGAACGTCCCCTCCTCTCCCGTCCCCTCCCCTGCGTGGGGCTCTCGGGGGACGGTTCACCTTGCAGCTCTGCTGGAATCTCCCGCCAGTGGACGGGGGCCCACTGTAGAAGGACGTGCTCCCTGAAGGGACTGAGCACCCCCCCGCCACAGCCTCCCCCACGGGACCCTGGCCCTGGGGCCGGCCCAAGCCGGGCCTCCGTTCCTCCGCCTCGAACTCCGAGGGGCGGCGAAGAGGGTCAGGCACATCCCTTCAGGCCCAAACCCACCAGGAGCAAGGACGCCCGAACCCCACTCCAGAGCGTGGGAGTGGCTGTCCCCTGGGGCCGAGGGTGGGCTCTCGAAGTAACCTGCGTGTGGTTTGAGCGCTGGGCTGGCTGATGGGCAACGGGCAAGTTACCGAACCTCTCCGGGCTCCCGCGTCCGCGCGTGTGTGATGGGGCTGAGAGCAGTCCCCGCCCTGGGAGGAAGGACGGACGCACGAGAGGGTGCCGGCGGGGGGCGCTCGGCACAGCGCCCGACCCGACCCGTACAGAGGACGGAACAGACACGGCGCCGGCAGCGCCGTGTGGGAGCGGCGGGGGGCGCCATCGAGCCCCACTTCTCGATCCTCTTCCCCCGCCTCCTCCGCTGCGCCTGGGAGCAGCCGAAGAGCGAAGCTGCAGCCCAGACAGCAGCCCCGCGGCCATGTGTGAAGGGGCGGGGCCTGTGGAGCTTTCAGTTTTCTGGGGTAGAAACGGGCCTCCAGGCCCAGACTCAGAGCCCGCACGACACCTCCGGTTCCCTCCTGTTCCCTCCGGGGGGCTGACCGGGCGCATCGGGTGTCTCATTGAGACCCTGACAGAGCATAAAGGACGCGGGGCGTTCTCTGGGTGGGCTGAAGCGGTCGTGCACGCCCTGCCGCCTCTATCCTAAGACCCTTTCTCGCCCCCACGTCCTCCACAACAGCTGCTTCCTTAAAAACAAAAAGAGAGACCCAACAAAACCCAGCATCCAGCGTCCCTGGAATCTAAGTTCCAAATACCGCCATCACCCCAGCAACAGCGGATGTCACCACCAGACACTTGACCCAGCACGAGGGCTGATGTCATTGGCTGTTACCAGGGCAACTGAGATCTCTCGGCTGTGGCGCCATGGCTCCTTCCACTACGTCCTTCTGAGGGGAGTTGGGCCCCAGGTGCCGACAGGTCTGCTTGTGCTCTTGAAAGGGAAGCAAGGACCCAGGGGGCTGGAGGCCACAGCCTCAGAAAAGCTTCAGCTGCCCCAGCTCTTACACAGGCCTCAGGCTAGGTGGCAGTGGGGCGCGGAGGCAGGGAACAAAGTGGGACAAAATGCACCTGCACCCACTGAGTCAGGGAGCTTGCAGCTGCCCAGACCAGGTCGGTGGCTGCCAGCGAAGGGGCCCCTGTGTTCTCAGCTCTCCATTCCTGCCAGGGTGCCCGGGATCATGCCTCCCAGGGGGTGGGGGATGCCAAGATGTGTTTCATAAAGGAAGATGTTCCAGTGGTCATTTTGGAAAGCATTCTGATCTCTCAAAAGCCCACCCGCCAGGGGTGGGCCACACTCAGACCCTCGTGGGCAGGCAGTACGGGGTGCGGTGCGGGGAAGGGCATTGAAGAGGGAGTCAGAGAGTTGGGTCCTAGTCCTGCTCTGCTCATGGTGCTGGGCGATCCTGTGCAAATGGCTTGCCCTCTCTGAGCTCTTCCCTATCTGCACAAGGAGGGATCAGACTGCGTGACTTTGTCAGCTCTGACATTCTTCTGTCCTCTTGGGGAAGCTGGTGAGGACTCAGGGGAGGGGACGGGAAGCCACTGGCCCGTAGAGACATGCTCAGGCAACAGTGCCAGGCTGGGGGGTATCCAGAAGAGCTGCTTTTTATAATCTGCACCTGAGGTTGGTCTGCCTTGCTCTTGGCCCTCTCCTCTGACCCTCTCCTCTGACCCTCAGCAGATCCCACATGCTGCCCAGTCCCAGGACCTGCCCCTGCAATGCCTGCCCTTTGGTCACCAGGGAAGTCATCAGGCTTGCCCCACCCGACCCACCTGGAATCACAGGCTATCTCACGTTTTCTCACAAAGGGGGAAGGCTAGCCCAGAGAGGGCAGGGACTTGGAGAAGGCCACACAGCAGAGCTGGCTAGGACCAGGGCTGCTCCTTCGCATGCAGCACTCTGCGCGCCACTCCATGCTTCTCCCTGCTCACTCCACTTCCTCCTTCCTTCCTCAGACGCTGCAGGGCCATGCCGAGGGGCAGGTGGTGGGGGTCCCCTGGGGCGCAGAGCCTCTGCCTCATGCTGCTTCCAGCTCAGGCTGAAGTGGCCCAGGTTCTGTCCTGGCCACAAAGCGGGAGAAATGACCATGCCAGCAGTGGACACAGCTGTGGGTGGGGTCCTGGTCCTTAAGCCTCCAGGCCAGAGCTCGGGAGGAAATGTCCTGGAAACTGAGGTGGGGTTGGGACGGGCAGGGAACCAGCACTCCACCCACTGCACACAGAGAAACGAGGAAAGAGGAGGAAGAGAGAGGTGGGGGGGTGGGGGCTGTGGGGGGGAGGGTCCATCAAGATCCCACTACCCTTGACTGTCAGCTGGTGGGAAGATGGAGGAGGGACGCGTCTGGGTCTCCTATATCCCCGCCATCCCCTTCTCTGCCGGAGGGACTGCTCTGCAGCCTGCTGTGGCCCCGAAGAGGAAGGTGCATGGGGGGCAGGGGGTTGATGGCCTCCCTGCCACTGAGATAGTGGGTGCTCCCTCATATGCAGCCCCACGGGGATGCTGTTGGCATTGGCAGAATCAGATGTGGTTGGTGGGGCGTGGCGGGGGTAGGAGATGGCTGGGGAGTAATGCCAGGACGGTGGGCAGAACCACGGGCACTGCTCTTCAGCCCAGGCTTGGCCTGTTGACTTGAGCTGCCTGTCCCCATCCAGGCGGGGTCAGAGGACAGCCATTGCAGGGGCAGGGTGTTCTGGAGCTGTGGGTTAGGGGGGTTGGGAGATGAGAGGCGTGGCCAGGAGTGGAGCGAGAGGGGAGGCCAGTGTGTGGGTAGGCTGAGGGGGAAGGTGCCCCGCCTCCTGGAAGGTCCCCAGATTGGCAGTCAAGGGAGGGGCCCTGGAGGAGGTGGCCCCTCATGCCTTGGCCCTCCCCTTGCAGACATCGAAGGCGGCCTTTGTTGCACCCCCAAAAGCCTCCACCAGCTTGTCTCCCCAGGGTAGGACATTGCCCAGCAGTGGCGCAGTGCAGTTGGCAATGCCCAGGACCTGGGCGGGTGTCAGGGCGTGGTCCCACAGGTTAAACTGGGCAATGTCACCCACAAAGGCCTGAGTGGCATCAAACCGGCCTCCCAGGGTATCCTGGGCGAAGAGAGCAGAGAAAAAGGAGAGAGACATGGAGTGAGAGAGCAGAACAGATAGGCAGGCAGACTCAGAGAGTCAGGGATTCCCCAACCCCATTATCTAGCAGAAGCCCCGCCCCCACGGTTCTAGCCCCGCCCCCACAGTTCTGGCCCCACCCCTGAGGCTCCAGCTCCTTGGGCATGTCTCTGCTCTGCCAGCGTCTCCGTCTGCCCCGCCATCTGCAGAATGGCCGGGTCAGACTGAGTGGTCACTGCTGCACTTTCAGGATCCCTCCGCCTAGCCCTTCCTCCTCAGGGGCCCTGGGGGGCGGTGGGATATCCACTTGGGGCTCAAGCGCCGACATCCCTGAGCCGTACCTGCTCTTGGCCCAGAATAAGGATCCCATGAGGCTTGATGGGGTGCCAGGCAGCCAGGTTCTCACCGGAGCCCCGCAGCTCCCCGTCCTGGTAGGCGGACCACAGGCCGTCCCGCGTGGTCCAGGCGATGCAGATGTGGTGCCAGCCATTGTCCTTCAGGCTCAGGGGCAGCTGGGCCACCTGGACACAGATGCCCCAGCTCCAGGTCAGAGGTCACAGGACCCGAGGCTGGAGCAGTGGGGTGAGGGGGACCCGACCCCAGGCTTGGCCCTCCCCTTCCTCCCAGCCCAGCGCCTTCCCCACCACTCTCTCCTCTTTGCCCGACTTGACCAGCAGCTTCGCTCAGATCCCAGGGACTAGTCAGTGCCGCTTTGGTTTTCTCTGTCTCCAGGTAGTTCAGTCACTAACAGGCCAGTCAGATCACATGGGGCGGGAGCCGAGGCTCCAGTCCCACCTTCCCCTGAACACCTCACACGGTGCCCGGCACACAGCCGGCTGGAGAGGTACCGGCAGTGGCGGAGCAGGCCCTGGACTCAGGCCGGGCACTGGCCCCCGGCCCTGGCTCTGCCACCCGACCCCCCGTGGGACCAGGGGAGGCTGCACTTTCCTCCCTGGCCTCGGCTTCCTCGTCTGTAAAGTGAGGAGGCCAGGCAGAGGATGGCAAATGTGCAGCCACCTCCGCCTCGGCTGCCCAAGGCAGACTCGGCTAATCAGTCATGAGCCCGGACTCGGCCTTAGAAACTTCTGAAGCTGCTGCTGATTGGTTAGCGTTTGCCAGTCAGAGGAAGGGCACTTGCTGCCCGTGGATTTGGAGCTCCCAACGGGCTCTTTCATCGCCTGCTCCCTGAGATCACGATATAATAATGCAACATTCTCTGAAGCCTGCTTGGTGTCAGGTCTTGTTCTGGGCGCTGGGGATATGCATCTGGTCCTAGCTGCAAACACGAGCTGAGTCTGCACAGGAGGGAAGGGCTTTGGGGACAAAATAACACTGGGCCCATTCGGGCAGCGCAGAGGTGATGAAGGCCCCGAGGAAACAGGAGACGTGGAGACTAAGCACGTCTGGACGACAATGGACCCAGACCGTCCGCTGCAAGGCGAACCACGTGCGTGGGGAGCAGGGCGGGGGCAAACGCTCAGAGGCGGGAATGCAAGGGGAACCGCGAGCAGCCTTGGAGGTCTGCGCTGGAAGGACTCCAAAGGTTCCCGGGATCGGTTCGCTGTGTCCTGTCCAGGGTGCTGAATCTCTGCGAGGAACTGAGCGCAGACTGTGGGCGGGGCCAAGGATGGCAGCCCGGGAGCGTGCGAGCGGAACAGGGTTAGCGGGATCTAGATGCAGTCCACCTTCCCGGGTCTTCTCGGGACCCACTGGGTGGCAGAAAACATTCATCGCCCCCTGGGCCCATCTCCTTCCTCCTCTTCTCAGGCACCCAGAAGAGGCACCTCCTGCTGAGCAGGTTTTCAGTGGGTTCTGGGAGGAGCCTCTCCACAGGTAGGCCCTTGGGGAAGTCACAGACTTTCTGGGAGCCTCACACGCCTCCCCTGTAAACGGAGCGCCACACTTCCGGCCTCTCGTGGACACAAGCCCCTCTTCAGCCGGCCCCGGGTCTGGCTTGTCACTGTGTTTTCCAGACCCCAGCCTGGCGTGGCGTGTGGGCAGGGGAATGGAAAGGGCCCACACACGTGGGGCCCAGCACAGGGCGGTGTTCCTGGGAGGGTGACCCCCGCCCCCCATCTCTCCAGCTCCCACTGACCTTGTCATTGATCAGCAGCTCCATGGGGTCGTGGCCCGCCTCCAGCAGCACAATCTCATTGGCCTGCCCCGGCACCGAGTAGGAGAAGGGGGTCCCCTGGCCAGTGCCACCCGACCTGGACCGCAGCCACACGCAGACGGTGAAGGCGTAGAGCTCGGGCAGCGCCTTCCGCACGCGGGCGTACATGTAGTTGTTGCGAATGGGGATGCTGATCTTGAAGGCGTCAGGGGGGCTATAGGCCGAGGACCCTGAAGGGGGCGGGTAAAGTGGAACCAGGGGGAGTCAGTGGACCCTGGGGAGGCCGGGGTGGGTAGGGCACACTTCAGAATGGGGGTTACTAGTCCCTAGGACCTGCTATGCCCCCCTTCAGCTGTGCCCCTGCTACAGAGTCTTCACTCCAAAATTCACTCTCCACCTCTGCTGTCGGATGAGCTGGAGGCCTTCCTCCTCCAGGAAGCCTCCTGGGTTTCTTTCTCCAGAACTCCTGTCTGATATCTAAGCTGGTCCCAGCCAATTGCTCATGGCTTTCCCTGGCACCCCACGTTGTCCATAAGCCTCTTAAGGGTGATCCTCACAAGGTTTCAAAGATGAAAAATGCCCGAGGGCTCATGAGCTCTAAAGTTGCACTTTTCAGACGAGAAACATGAGGCCCGGGGAGAGGAAGCAAACACCCAAAGTCACAGGGCAAGTCCACGACAGCCAGGTGGCTAGGTCTCCTGATGGTCACAGCCGTCCACTGGCCCTTGCCCCGTGTGTCCCTGACCCCCTTGGCAGTGCCGGGCCCAGGTTCTAAACAAACGACAGTATTCTGATTCATTGCAGGTGCTACTTTTCGGGGTGGTTAGATGCACGGACTCTGAAGTCAGACCCGGTCTGAAGTCTAGACCCACCCCTGACTGGCTGTGTGGCCTTGGGTACGTCCCTGGACCCCTCTGAGTGCCGGTCCCCTCTTCTGTGAGGTGGGCACCACAGCGGCACCATCCCCTGGTGGTCCGGGAGGAGTGAGCCGGCTGCCGTGTCGAGTCCTCAGCCCACCCCCGATGCACGATGTGTTAGAAAACAGGAATAATGATGATAAAATAGCCACCAACTGCACCCGCCCTCTCGTGTTTCACAGCCTCCTCCCCGCCGGCCTATCTTTAGCCTCCGGAGAGCATGAAAATGCTTTCCCAGTGAGTCTGCCACCCTGAGGACCCGCCCGAGGCCCCGGGCTCCCCTGCTCCGCCCCCTGCGGGGCCCAGGACCCACCGTGCTCCAGTTCAGCGACGCGGTCATGCAGGGCGTCCAGCTCCTTCTCCACCTCCTGCCGCTGACGGTGGTTGCTGTGACTGAGGGCCACGCGCTCCTTCTCCAGGGCCAGCACCTTGGCCAGCAGCTGCCCCTCCAGTTCATCCATCTTGGAGTGCAGGGCGGTGGGCACCGTGGGCGCCGGGGCGGGGGCGGCTGAGAAGTTCACTCGGGCTGGGAGCTCCTGCTGCTTAAGGGGCAGAGGACAGGGCATGTGAGGTCCCTCAGAGGGAGGAAGGGAAGGGACGCAGGGCTCGGAGACCCCACCACCTCTGCTGAGTGACCCTCAGGGAGCCTCAGCTTCCCTGTGTGCAGAATGAAGCCACCAACACCAGCTCCAGGCAGCAGACTGGGTGTCTAGCAGAGCTTCTTCAGATCACACAGTCAGACAGCTCAGGGTTCAAATCCAGCTGGAGAGCCAACCTGCTGTGTGACCCTGAGCAAATGCCTCTACCTCTCTGAACCCCGGGCTGCTCACAGGCAACTGTACCTATTTAGAAGGTTGGGGGGGGGGCGTGATTCAGCAGTAAATGCCAATGGGCACAGCCTGGTTACCACAATCACTGTCTGGGGCCGAGGAGCTGGAGGGACCGGTACTCTGTTCTGCCACGCCACCCCGAGATGGGGGCGGGTGGGCTCACTTTGACCCCCATTATACTAACCTTCACTGTCCAGAAGGCTTCTCCCCACTCCCCAGGGTCCTAGGAATCCAGACTCTGGTGCTGACTAAACCCAATGCCTCGCCTCCCCCTCCTGTAAAAAGGGCCCGCTGACCCCACTCTGCCCACCCCCAGGGTAGATGGACGGAAGTAAAGGCTCCCCGGACTGTAAAAGCAGAATGTGGACTGTAACGCATCGGCTGACAGGCAGCTGCCACCTCCAGAACCTTCCCTTGACCACAGAGGGCCCGCGGAGGGACAGGGCCAGCCACGCACTGCATCCTCGGTGGCTGGACTGCCAGGAAACCTTGGCCGGAGACACGGGCTCGTGGAGTATATTCCCGCCCGGTTCTGGGAGGGCGGTGGCTGGGGGTCCTCAGTTTCCCTCCTTGCACTGCGCCACGCTCGTTGTGAGGGGCACATTTCTGAATGAGCGTGCCAGGCCCATCCTTGGCGCTCGCTCGACACGCATTTGCTCATGGGCCCTCACAGCCCCTCACTCGGTTTCGTTGGCCCTCTTAGTGTCCCCGTTTCACAGATGAGGAAACTGAGGCAGACCCTTCTGAATTTTCTACGCTGGGGCTGGGCAAAGCTGACGCCTCTGGAGCCAAGGCCTCCTGTCTCCAGCAGAGCGCCCTCCTCCCGTGGAGGGAGCCAGACCTGCCAGGAGGGAACGGGGCGTGGGGCGCTGTTTACACAGACGCCATTGCAGGGAGAAACCGTGCAGGCGACGGAGGTGGGTGCACAAGCTGTTCTTTTGTCAGAGCCACCGGCTCTGGCGCCAACAGGAAGGCCGGGGAGGAGGTGGGCTCACCGGATCGTGTGTGGCCCCCTCCCCACCCCGGCGTCTAAATCAGAGGAACACGGCTGCCCCCCTCACTTCCCCATCTGCTGCGGGTGCGGGCGGTGCCGCGTGGGCTCCCGGCCTGGTGCCAAGTGGGCCCCTAGCCCGAGACGGTGGGGGAGAGGATGAAGCCCTCAGCCCCGCTCAGGTCCTGATGAGGCAGGAAAGTGGGGGCTCAGAACCCACCGGGAGTCGTGCTGGGGGCCCAGGGCAGGACGTGCTGCAAGCGTTTGGAGTCTGGACGCAGAGCCCAGGGTTTGCGTCCGGCTCAGAGCCAACGTGCCGGGCCCATCAGCACCCAGCTGTACGCGGCGGCCGTCCTCGTGGCCGCACAGGGCGAGCCAGCCCTGCAGGGAGGAGGCACTGCTCAAACACCTGCCAGCCCCTCCCAGCACCCGGGAGGAGGGAAGCCCACTTTCCAGATGAGGGGACCGAGGCTCGGAGACGTGAAGACTCCTGCTGAAGGTCCCATGGCTGAGAAGGGACAAAGCCGGGACCCCAGCCCAGGCCCTTCAGATGCCAGAGCCTCTTTTCATTCTGTTCTCCCCAGCTGTCAGTGCGCCCATCTGCCAAGGGGGCACCGTGCTGGCTACTCCGCCTGCCCCAAGAGCACGCAGCTCTCAGAGGTTCCTGTGGCCACGAGAGGGCGGGGAGGGTCTGGCGGTCTGTGTCAGAGGGTGCTTCGGGGCAGCTCTGCAGAGGGACTGGACAGGAAGGACCTGCCCATGCAGGGCGGCTCAGGGGCTGGAGGAGTGGAGAGCATCCAACCACCTCGTCTCCCAGTGGGGACTGATCCTTTCCTTCAGGGAGCAGAGGGACGGTGCTGACTTCGGGGTCAGGGTCCCAGCCTCTGCACAGCACCCCCCTGCCCGGGACAGCACGGGCCCACCAGCTATGCTGCTCCTGGGGCAGCAGCGGTAGGGGTCAGGTCTCCTCACCTCCCCACCCGGTCATCCCTGAAGTCCTCTGTGAGTCTGCCCCAGCCGGCATGCTAGCTCCACTAGCCCAGGACTTTGTCATGAAGAGCTGCTGTGCCTCAGTTTCCCCATCAGTAATAATAATAATATCTCATAGCATGGTAGTGAAAATTAAATGACTTAATAGATAGAATGCCCTGAGAGTAGAGGTGGCACATGAAATGTTAGGTAAACATCAGTAATTATCATCAATAATAATAAGAGACATCAAATGTCTCTTGAAGGGACCAATGCTTCTCCATCTCCAATCATACATCTTTTTGTTTAATCATTATATTGAGGAAAAAAGCAAGTTACAGAAGAACAGTGAGAGACCATTAACATAAAGCTGCAAAGATTCAAAGCCAGATCACATGTTTGTAAAAGCATGAAGTCAACAAGCCTGGAGAGGCAAACGCAGATGCAGGACAGTGGCGACCCTCTTGTGGGTGGGCGATGGGGCTGGGACTGAGGTGGCTCTGAGGCCCCAGAGGAAGCGATAGGACACCCCAGCCCCAGGGACCCTCGCCTCTCCCTCCAAGTATCCCCTGCCAAGCTAGCGCGTTGAGAAGGCCACAGAATTCTCTCTCAGGCCCTGCCTGCCCACACACCTCCTGGGCCCTGGCGGGAAATCTGCAGCAAAGGCTGAGGCCCCTCCCCTCAGCCCATTTTAACAGATGGTCCTGGCTGCGGTCTGTGCTCCGCTTCTGCTGTGCTGTGTGGCCTTGAGCAAGTCACTCTGCCTCTCTGAACCTTAGTTTCCCCGGAGTCCAATGAGGGGTGTCTGGGGAGTACATGTGTAAGTGCTTCCGCTTTGGGTCGGTTGCTGCAACCCCTGTCCCCAGAATTCGGTGGGGATCACGTGCCCAAGTCTGTCCTGGGGACAGAAATCCCACTTTCCTTTCACTCACTGAGGATCGCCCACTCCTGACTCCGTGCCACCTCCCACAGGCAGGGACTTCGCAGAATGGCCAAAGAACGGAGAAAAGATGCTCGATTTCATGAGTCATCAGAGAAATTCAAATGAAAGCACCATGAGTGCGCACTACACACCCACCAGAACGAGGAGCGTTTTAAAAATGACCGTACCAACACGGGCGAGATCCCCACGCAGGCGGGTGGGTGTGCGCACGCTCGCTGCCACTTCGGGACAGTGCTCGGCAGCGCCTCCTAGCGCTGAGTCCGTGCCTCTTCCGGGGCCGAGGCAGCCCGCTCCTGGGGACGCAGCCGGGAGAAAGGGGGGGGGGCGCTCATAGCCACCAAATCCCCCACCAGGACGTTCACGGCAGCTTTACTTGTTCTAACCCCAAACCAGAAACACCCCATGTGCCCACCCGTAAGAGGGGCGGATAAGTCAGCGACGGCGCATCCGCACCGCTCACGCGGCACTGCAAACAGCGGAGCCCCGGGGCCCCGCCCCGATCGCGGGTCGGACACAGGGGAAACCCCAGCCGCAAGGGGTGCAGCGGCCCGAGTCCGTGTGAACGAAGCTCAAACACCGCAAAGCTGGTCTGTGGTGACGAGCAGAATCGTGGAAGCTTTGGGGGCAGAATGGATTTGGGGGGCCACAGAGAAGACTTCTGGGGCACTGGAAACGTTCTGATTCTTGGTCTGGGTGCGCTGCTTTCTGGCTGTCTGCATACATACATTTTCACCGAGCTGTGCACTTAAGATTTGTGTCTTTCACAAGTCAGATATGTGAGCTCTTACACATCTTGAATGTAAGATAGACTTGGGAAAAAAAAAAAAAGGAAGTCCCACAGGGAAGGTCCCAGCCTCCGCCCCGCAGCGCCTGCCCGGCTGGGAGTCGCTGGTCTCCTCCTCAGTGAAGGCCTCCCAGGGGGGATGTCACAGCAGGGGGGGTCCTGCCCACCCCTCCCATTTGACAGGTGGGGAAACCGAGGATCAGAGAGGAGACATTTTTTAAGGTCACAGCAAGCAGGTGGCAGAGCTGGGACTTAAAGGCCCAGGTTTCTTGCTAGAATGAAGGAGCCGCCCCGGCAGGAGTAGGGGTTAAGGACTTCCCCGTGTGGTGCTCCACCCCGATGGCAGGGGGCAGCCACAGGGCCAGAGGCCAGCGGGGCCTGCAGGTGGCGGGCAGGCACTGAGGTTCCAAGTTCTCAAACAAAAGGCCGTCATGCAGACCCTCTCTTGCCACACTCTGCTGGCCCCCTTCATGCACAAAGAGGCAGGGTCAGGGGAGCCAGCCCCCACAGAGCAGAAACTTCCAGAAGGGGCAGCGACATAAGGAAAAAAGGAAAAGCAACCAGACGACTTTAGAAAAGGTGCCAGTGGATTCTCTAAGTCACAGTGTTTGTCTGCAGATGACTGGGAGGTCTGGGGGCGGGTGAACGGAAGTTTTGGGCTGCACACATATGTCCCCCCCACCCCTTGAGCCCTAGTCAGGGGGCACCTGCCCGAGAACTCATAATTTAGAGACCAAAGGGCCTGGACCAAACTCTGCCCCTCCCCCCCCCATTTTTTTGAACATATCCTCATGATGTTATTGTCACATAATAAAACAAAACACGAAGCTTAGAACTGGATCGCCTGGCCCTTTCCCTTCTTATCTCCTCCCAGCTCGGCAGGCTCGCCTCTCCGAACAGCCAGAGCTCTCGGAGGTCTGCAGCTGGGCTCAGCCCATTCAAGCCTCAGCACAATCTTCTTTGTAGTTTTAGCCTTTTCCCGGAAAAATCGGCTTAGTCTGTCCTCCACAGTCACTCTGATT